CATTATTATTATTTGTATTTGACATAGTTATCCGGATACAAATTAGCTGACTTACATATCGATATACTGCATTCGATTTTCAATTTTACTATATATTCTATCATTTTAACTAAATTTTCTTTTTTTCAATATCATAGTCTCATTTTTCATGTTAATTGCTTCCCTAAAAACTACATACGTCTCCATATTTACTTTTATCTGTGTGATACTTGAATTTATCGCTCTCGACATTGCTAATTTTGCAGGTATTAATGTTTTTGCACGCATTGGTGGAGGTATTGGAGGTAAAAAATTTTCAACTATCAATTAAATTTTATTTAAATTTAGATTATTTAATAATTTGGATTTTTTTTTTTTTCTTTAAAGTTTTAGTAGCATGTGGTGCGTGGTACATGGGATTGGCTCAATTGCTTACTAAGGAAATCACATATTTCACGTTGCCATCTTTCTCAATTGACTCTGAATAACTGTAATTTTAATCGTTATATATCTATAATGATACAATTAGTTAACTGTGATAACTTTACTGTGGACTCATTATTTTTTTCGAAATCTTTTGTATCATAATTGAATATTTATATTGTATGTTTCAATTATAATAAATAATCTTTGTAATTATAATTAATAAAAAAAAAAAAAGGTCCAATAATCAAAATTAGTCCTTAGAGTATATTCTTTCGTTTTTTTTTTCAACAATCCCATATTGAAAATAATTGCACAAAATATTTAAGTCAGACATCTCTAAATGCGTCCCTTGCACATAAATTTATAGGTAGATAATTATAAATAGTTATTATAAGGTGGGATCGAGCCCATACTATGCATTTAGAAAGAATTTACATGATACGTTGTGGAGGGCCTCCGTAATGAGGCTCTACATTGTTTTAGATTTGTACGTTGCACCCCACTTAGAATCTTAACTTGTAACTATTCACAAAATTTTTTTCCAAAGTTCATTTATGTTAGGGTTATCATTTAAAGATGACCTAACCTTAATTTAAATGATAACCCTGACATAAATGAAACAACACGTGTATATGGTTACACAGGTTCACCACCTAGAAAGCACTAATACTATCCCAAGAATCTTAGTAATAATCGTTATCTTAAAATTTCTTAAATTTAATGCATAAAACCAATATATTAGCGATAGTCAATATTTCTGTCATTTCTGTTATTTGTATTATTCGTAGTATCTTTATTTTTCTATTATCTGAATTTTCACTACTATCTTCGTTATTCTTGTATTAATGATAAGGAAAATAATGTATAAAGGTTTGTAATTAACTGAAATAAAACATAATTTTGGAAGTCAGCAGAAATAATTAGTAAATACTATAGTGATTTAGACCTAATTTCTCGGACCAAAGTTTTCCTACATTATGATTAATTTAGTTATAGATTGTGTAACCCATATACCTAAATATATCGATATCATTCCCACTTTTACACTGTATCAATGTTGACCAAAATCAAATATCACACTAGTGGGGTGCAACAGTACGAATATAAAGTAATATAGAAATTCATTACGGAGAAAACCTTCCCATAACGTATCATGTAAATTCTCTTTAAATTGTGATATAAGCTCGGTCCCACCTTATAATAGTTATTTATATAACTCTTTGTAAATTTACACTCTCTCCAAGTACTTTTTTTTTTTTTTTTTAAACAGCTTATTTAGCGAGGTCTGACTTAAATATTTTGTGAGTGTAATTGAAATGTAATTAAAAATAAATAATAAAAGAGTATACGTATTTCTATTTCATTTTAAATATGAATTTATTTAAAATTCTTTTTTATTTGTTATTTTTAACTATAAATTTTTACAGGTATTTAGATAAAAAGTTGCTTTGACATCAATAGTCGGAAAACCCAGAAGCAAACCAGAAACCATAATCGCTTGTTTCACGGCTTCGGCAAACTTTTTAGGCAAAAAGGATATGAAAGTTAGGTTAAATAAAGATAAGTTTAAATTTTAATTTGCATATTCTTTACATAATACATACTACTTCTCAAGATCTTTTAATGTATGAACAAGCAATTCCTTCGGATATTTACGGATCACTTTTTTACAATAGCTACATAAATAGGGTTTTCGCCCGGAAGATGTTGTTGGTTCATTTTGCTGGAAATTGTCTAATTTTAAAAAAGAAAATAATACATAAATTAATAAAAATAAAGAAATTGATACCTGTGCTGAAATGATAAAAAGCAAACTTACTCGATTCTGCTGAAGGCGGGAAAATGAACCAGTTATTATCGCCGAGATGAAATCCAATATATTGAAGTGGTTCATTTTGCTGTAAACCGTCTAAAAAATAGGAAAAAAAAAATTAAGAAATTGATAGGTATTTATGATATAAAAAAAAATATTCTAAATGAAATCCATACTAGAAAGAAAATTTGCGGAAGACGAGAAAGTATTCATTCTAGAAAAAATATGCTGAGGTGGTTCATTTTGTTGGAAACTGTCTGAAAATAATTAAACGACACAATACTGTAATTAAACAATATTTTTAAATGTAATTTATTTATTTATTTTTTTTTTTTAAAAAAAAACACAATTTACCAGATTCTGCGGAAGGGGAAGCGATCCAACAATCACTGCCAAGATGATTTCCGTCATAAATTAGTTGGAAACCGTCTTTTACGTAATTTCAAATAATAATA